GGGGATGTGAGGGGACCAGTAGGAGTGTCTGGCCACTTCATACAGCAGCTTGGCGAGCAGGGCAAAGTTGGGGAGCCAATGTCTGAAAAATCCAACTAGCCCCAAGAAAGAGAATTTGATCTCCTGTCGTAGGTGGTTGGAGATTACGGAGGAGTTGAATGCAGTCTGCTGTAAGGCTGCGCGAGGTAGGTGAGAGAGAGAGAGAGAGAAAGAGAGAGAGAGAGAGAGAGAGAGAGAGAGAGAGAGAGCTAAGCAGGTGACTTGCTGGCTTGACAACTGAGCCTTGTCAGGAGAGACTCGGTATCCTTTTTGGGCAAGGAAGTTAAGGAGATTTGCAGTATGTTGTCTGGAGTCCTGTAAAGTGGGGCTGCAGAGAAGGAGGTCATCTACATATTGGAGGACCTTGCTGGAGCCTAGGTCACAGGAGGCTAAGTCTGACCAAGTAAATGGGGGCTATCTCTAAACCCCTGTGGCAAGACTGTCCACGTGAGCTGTTGTGACAGAGCAGTGTCAAGGTCTGTCCATGTGAAGGCGAAAAGAAACTGGGACTCCGGGTGTAGGGGGATAGTGAAGAAGGCATCTTTGAGGTCTAGGACTGAGAAGTGGGTTGTATTAGGAGGAATGTGGGAGAGAATAGTAGAGGGGTTAGGGACTACCGGGTGGATAGGGATGACCGCTTCGTTGATGAGTCTAAGGTCCTGGACCAGGCGGTAGGCTCCGGACGGCTTTTTCACCGGGAGAATGGGAGCATTGCATGGAGAATTAACAGGGACAAGAAGTTTTTGGTCTAGGAGGCGGGTGATAATAGGGTGTAATCTTTTTAAGTTTATGAGGGAGATAGGAAATTGGGATCAGGATGGGAAAACGTTGGGCTGTTTCAGGCGGATGACGACAGACAGGTGATGAAAAGCCACAGTTGGGATAGACGTGTCCCATACTTGTGGGTTGACCAGGGAAGGGGAAATGGGAGGAGCTGGAGGAGTTGGGTTCTCCAACAGCAGGAGGCTAAGGGGAGGAGGAAGGGGTTGGGTTTTTGCGCAAGCTGAAGAGTGGTGCCTAATAATTGGAGAACATCCCCGTCCTAGAAGCAGAATACAGCAGGAGAGTATTACAAGGAATGAATTGGAAAAAGGAAAGCCGTCCAGACTGCAGCTAAGCAGGGGGGTTCACCATAGGTAAGACACGGTCCCATCAACCCCCATGACCGAGATCTGGGAAGGAGTAAGAGGTCCTGAAAAAGATGGTAAAACAGAGTAGGTAGCCCCCGTGTCCACTAGGAAAGAGATAGACTTACCCGCTACCTGCAGCATTACCCTGGGCTTGGCAAGGGTGATGGGGGTCTTTGAGTCTGGGCTGCTTCAATCGCCTAGGAGTCCGAGGTTTCCCGTTGGGCCAGGGAAGAGTCCACACCTTGATCGGCTGGTCCCCCACTTGGAGGCACCAGGGACGAGCCTCTAAGGGGACAGGCATCCCTCCAGTGGCCAAGCTGTTGGCAATCGGGGCAAGGCTTCGTTGGTGGCCGAGGCTAAGGACACTTGTGGGCCCAGTGCCCTTCTTTGCCACACTTGAAACAGGCCCCCGGTGGGGTGTCCTTTGGCCCGGACTTAGGCTTCGCCCCCGAGCCAGTGTTTGCCGCTGGCCGTAGGGCAGCTAGGATGGCCTGGGTTTGCAGGGCCACCTTTTGCTGTAGGTGAGCCTGGCGAGCAGCCTCAGCCTCTGCTTCTGGGTTATTGAAAACCTTAAATGCCATATTTACCAGATCTCAGATAGGGGTTTGGGGGCCATCCTCGGCCTATTTCAGTTTCCTTCTAATGTCTGGGGCCGACTGGGATATAAAGTGAGTAGCTAAGACTGTGACCCCAGTGTTACAAGCTGGGTCAAGGTGGGTATGGAGCACCATGGCCTCAGTTAGTCTGTTGAGAAACAGCACCAGATTTTCTTCGGGGCCTTGGGTGACCTCCCTGAGCTTATTGACTGCTGTCCGGGCAGATTGGTGCATACCTGCTATCAGGCACTTGACCATTTGGTCGGGGCACCTTCAACCCGTCTGTCCTACCTGGTAGCCCCAGCCTGGTTCCACCTCTGGCACGGCTTCAGCCCCTACTGGCATGAGGGGATTGGTGACGTGGGTTTGGTCTGCATGAGCCCCAGCTGCAGTCAGGACGCGGTTGCACTGGTCCAGGGTCATGGTGGAAGTTAAAATGATGTGCAGGTCATAAGCCTGGACTGGGTACTGGAATTCCCTGATAAAATTGGCAGGGGTAGTGGAGAACGAGCCTAGGCGTTTTGCAATTGAAGAGAGGTCAGTGCGTGAAAAAGGGACATGGACCCGAATGACACCTTCTGCTCCCGCCACTTCCCAGAGGGGGCAGATTCCGGAGTCTAGGGGATCCACATTCAGGCAGGAGCGAGTCTGTGAGCTAACTGGGAAGAAAGGTCTTCAGAGGGAGGGGGAGAATCTGGTTGAGTGGGGAGGGCCAGGGCTGCAGTAGCCTTTGGTGGGAGCTGATAAGGAGGGGGAGGGGGAGGAGAAGCAAGATCTTCAGGGGAGTCAGAAAAGGAGCAGGGAGGTTCTGGGGCAGTAGGCTTATGAGGCCAGATGGGTTCAGGGTTCCCTCGGGTGAGGAGAACTTGGGCTGTGGAGCACTGGGCACACAGATCCGGGCGGGATTGCAAGGCCCAAAAGCCCTGAATGTGGGGGACCTCAGACCATTTGCCAGTGTATCTGCAAAAATTATCTAGGTCAGTAAGGGTAACGGAATCGAAAGTGCCTTCAGAAGGCCAGGTTTCACGATTATTGAGCTGATATAATGGCCAGGCCATAGTGGATAGAAAAATCAGCCATTTTCGCTTGAGGCCAAGGTCAGTTGCTGGCAAATTTTTCAGAAGGCACCCTAGAGGTGACTTAGGATCTGGCTTAGACTCCTGCCCTCCCATTCCTGGTCCCACGAGGATCAGCAACTGGGAATCGGCGTCCCTCAACCCAATCTGCTGATCCCGTCTAGTAAAAATGGGGGTCTGGGTCCAGGGACGTCTCCTCTGGTGCCCAGAACCTCTCAGCGGGGGGGGGGGGGACAGCCTCTCCCAGAAGGGTTGCCCCGACACAGCACTGCAGTTTTGGTGTGCCAGCAGTCTCCCCCAGCAGATGGGGGCCCGGAATCAGCGTTCGGGGACCAGAAACTAAAGGACAATGGCACTTACCCTGGTTCTTACTCCGGACCAGTGTGTTGGCTGCGAGGCCTCCTTGATGAGTAGGGAGAGGAGCGTTCTTCAGGAGACAACTCCTCCCGGGTTTTGACAGCAAATGAAAGGTTTTCTCAGGCTCCGCCAAGGAAGAAATGCCAATCGGCCAGAAAGTCAGGCAGTACAGAGCTTTATTTGGGTTTGTGCACCTGGGCAAGATTCTATGGTCTGCAAAGTGTGGGGCCAGAGAAGTCACAGCCCACTGGAGCAGGAAAATGTGGGGGGGTTTATTTTCATTGGCTCTCTGTGGGAGCTGGAGATTGGTCCCCTTTGAACAAAGCAGCAATACATCATTGGTGGTTTTCTTCAGGCTCAGGTTACTATGCAGATATCCAATTTAGCAAAGCCCTCCCTTTTGGCTCTCTGGTTTGATGTCAGCTGCCATTTTGGATCATAGTACAGCTGCCATGTGTAGTCAAGCTGCCATTTTGTCCTACCCCACCCATCCTGACAAGGATAATAATGGTAACTGAAAACCATATAGATGGGAGAGGAAGAACTAAAACTGTTAATATTTCTAGGTGACATAATTGTATACATAGAACATCCTAAATAATCATAAAAAAATTCTGAGAACAAATAAGTGATCTCAACAAGATTGCAGAATATAATAAAAACATGTAAAAATCTGTTACATTTCCATAAACTAACAATGAATATATGAACAATGAAAATAAAAATGCACCTGTCTGGTGTAGCTCAGTGGATTGAAAATAAAAATGCAACACCAGTTATAATTGCTCAAAAATACATAGGCATAAATTTAACAAAACATGTACTGTAATTGCATGCTTAAAGGTACAAAATACTGAAGTCAAATATCTAAATAAATAGACATACCATATATATATATATATATATATATATATATATATATGTATTAGAATACTGAACATAGAAGTGATGTGGATTATCCCTAAATTGATATACAGGCTTGATGTAATTCCTATCAAAATCTCAGCAAAATTTTTTTGTACATATAGATTATTCAAACATTTATAGACAAAGGTAAAGAAAGTACAGTAGCTAGCCCTGGCTCGTATGGCCCAGTGGATTGAGTGCCAGACTGCAAAGCAAAGGGTCACTGGTTCGATTCCCAGTCAGGGCACATGCCTGGGTTTTGGGCCAGGTGCCTGGTAGGGGGCACATGAGAGGCAACCACATATTGATGTTTCCCTCTTTCTCCTTCCCTGCAAGAATAAATAAATAAATTTTTTAAAAAAGCTTTTAAGAAAGTAGAGTAGCTAAGCAATTATGAAAAAGGAGAATAAGGTAGGAAGTATTGGTTTATCCATTTTCAAGACATTAATTAGCTATAGTAGTCAAGACTGAGTGGTATATGCAGATAACGAACATATAGATCAGTGTAACAGAAAACACAGAAGCACATCCATATGCATATGTGTAACTGAATTATGAAAAAGGTATGAAATCAATTTAATAGAGGTCAGGTCTTTTCAACAAATGATACTGGACCAATTGGACATCAATAAGCAAAAAATGAACTTCAATCCATGTTTCACAATCTTACATAAAAATTAACTGAAAATCAATCACAGTCTTGATTTTAAGTGCAAAGTATAAAACTTTTAGGGAAAAAAGAAGAGAAAAATGTTGGGATCTATGGGTAAATAATGAATTCTAAGATAGGACAACAAAACCACAACCTATAAAAGAAAAAATTGATAAATATTATCAAATTTCAAAACTTTTACTCTGAAATATCCAATAAATATAATGAAAAGATAAGCTTCAGAATAGGGAAAAAATGTAAAAGCCACATACCCAACAAAGGACTAGTGTCTACAAAATAGAAGATACATGAGTGTCAAATAAACAAGGTGTTCAACATGATTACCCATTAGGAAATTTAAACCCAGTAGAATATCAGAACAGCTATCAAAATTGCCAAAATAAGAAACAATAAAATCAAATGTTGGCAAAAATGAAGAAAAACTGGATTATTCATATACTGCTGGTAGGAATATAAAATAGTACAATCAGCCCTGGCTGGTGTAGCTGAGTGGATTGAGTGCAGGCCTGTGAATCAGAGGATCATGGTTTGATTCTCAGTCAGGGCACATGCCTGGGTTGCAGGCCAGTGCCCAGCAGGGGGCCAATGAGAGGCAACCATACAATAATATTGTCTCCCTATCTCCTTCCCTTCCCCTCTAAAGATACATAAAATCTTGAAAAAAAAATAGTACAATCAGTTTTGTCAGCAAAAATTCCCAAAGAGGTACAGCAATGAGCAAATTTATTCAGGTGAACAGTTTGCAAACTGGGAAAACAGCCTCCAGTGGAAAACTGAAAGTGTACTCCGCTGAGACAAAGTGGGGTGGCACCTTTTATACAGAAAGTTCCCTCCCAGGTTCCCAATTTGGTCCATTTTATGTAAATGAAGTTTCAAAATAATACAGTTCCCATTGGTCCAAATTGTGCAGTTCTGATTGGTCACCATTATGCATTCTGATTGTCCAGAATAGATGCAAATGAGGATATAATTTTGCAGCTCTGATTGGATGGGGCAGGTGTCAGTCCATTGGCTGAAAGATGAATCTAAGAACTCCCTTATAATGGTTGACTCAGGTAACAGAAGCATAATACAGGAAGTTGAAAGCTCAATTTATGGCTTTCCTGACATGCAGAGTATGTGAGAGGTCTTTGTCAGCAACTGCCCCTAGACTCTGGTTATGAATTTGGTCCCAATGAACTTCACAAGTTCATTTTGACAGATGTATTTTCCCCCAGGGTTCACATTTCCTCCTGTTGATCAAAATCTGTTGGCAGACAGTGTTAATGATTATCAGGCCAGTTTTTTCCATATAAATTCTATGATTTGGCTACCTGCTCCAAGTCTATTTAGTCATTTGGTGGGACTCCTGTGGTTGGAAAGTTGTCAATCCTGTAACTAGGGCATTTGCTTACAAGAGTTTTATAAGGCACCTCTCAAACTTAGAGAAATTTTCCAAGGGAAAGCCTGTCTCAAGATGTTGATTTAGCATGGTCTCAGTAAGGTTTCTTCACAATATCCTATACAATGGCTAAGACAACTCAAGAAGAATTAAAGAACAACCAAAGGCACTCATTTTATAACATTAAGAAAATCATAGGGCATTGGTGAAAGACATTCAGCACTGGGGGCTTGTTCAAGTTAAAGTTTTTTTTCTTTTTTTTAATTCTCACCCTAGGATATGTTTATTGATTTTAGAGAGAAAGGAAGAGACAGAGAAAAAGAGAAAGAGACCTCAACTGGGGATCAAACCTGTAACCTAGGTATATGCCCTGACTGAGGATTGAACCCACAACCTTTTGGTGTATGGGATGAATCTCCAACCAACTGAGCCACTTGGCCAGGGTCAGTAAAAGTTTATTGATTTTGGGTGGATCAACAACTAATCTATTATGCAATAGGAAAAAGATTTTAACTGTCATGGATTATGACAAGTTTATGTAGTGGCTTGATGCAGTTATTAGTTGGATCTTCATAGGGAACTTTAAGTACCTGGTTGTACAGAACATGAAGTTTGATGATGAGATACATTAAACAAATTAGAACAATAAGTAGGACAATTTTCAATGCATACCTTAAAAAAGCCCTGAGTTTAGATGGGAGCCATGTCAGAAAACTTAAATCCTAATCAGTTAGTGGCACTTATGGAGATCTTTGTTAAGTTCCAATGGCCCTAGCAGTTGAGCAAGCTACTTTCTTAACAATTCTGGTTAGATTCTGCATCCTTATATCTAATTAAACAGTGCCAAAACCAGTACATAACTACAATTCTAAGGAGGAATTTGCTTTCATATTAATCTCCAAATTCTACCTGCCATCATCCTGGAATGATCAAGATTCAGCTACATCTGAGAACAGTTAAAACAAATGGAAGAAATAAATCAGGAGCTTAAAAAAAGCCACAGTCTTACTTGCTCTCTAATGATGGCCTTTAAAAATTGTACAACTGGATGTATTTCTATATACATAAGCTAGTGTTGGAATTTAGGAAATGAAGCATTTATATTTGTAGAAACATTTATATCTGAATCATATTCAGATCTGTAAAGAGGCATACTACCCTGTTTACTATGCAACTAGCTATTTGTGAAATTTAAAATGGTTAATAGAACCAACTAGCTATTAAAATGGTTAATAGAACAAATTACTTATGAACATAGTACTGATGTATAGCAAATTACACCAATTAAGTAAGCAGCTCAAATTAAGAGGAAAAATCCAATATTGCTGAACTTCTAAGCATTCATCTTAGTGTTAACATGGTTTCAGGGCTTGGGTCTAGATATGGCCAAGTCCAAGAACCACACCATGCATAACCAGTCCCAAAAATGGCATGGAAATGGAATCAAGAAACCCTGATCACAAAAATAATATGAATCTTTTAAGGGAGTAGACTTGAAGTTTCTGAGGAACATTTGCTTGGTCAAAAGTACAAGGGCCTGAAGAAGCTGCAGGCCGACAACATCAGAGCCATGACTGTATAATGCGAGGCTATCAAAACCCTCAATAAGTCCAAGGAGGTCAAGCTGAAGATCCCAAAGGGTGGCAGACGCAAGCTCAGTTGGCTTGCCTACATTGCTTGCCCCTATCTTGGGAAACTTTCTTGTGCCTCATTGTCAAGGGTCTCAGGCTCTGACAGCTAAAGATCAAAGCCAAGGCTCAAACCAAGTCCCAGACTGCAGATGCAGCTGCAGCTCCAACTCATGGTTAAGCTCCCAAAGGTGCCCAGCCCACCATGAAGGCCCCACAGTATACACCTGTCTGCAGATGGGAGGGTGGAAGGACTGGTATGACCCCCAGGCTGCTGTCTGCATGGAGCTGGTGTCCTCCTGGGGTGTTTGTTCCAATAAACCTGAGGCAGAATCTGTCAAAAAACAAACAAACCACAATTTTTGCCTAAATATTACCCCACAAGATTTTAAATATTCATCTTTTCAATATATTATCATGTTTAATAAAAAATAATTCCATTTTCTTATCACTTTTCCCCATTATCATAAATCTGATAGAGTTATTATATTGTCTAGACCAATGTAGGTATTCTAAAGGGTGCATGGATTGAATTTCTAGGTTCTAGAATATTGCTGGTGTAGTACAATAAGCTTGTTTGCCAGAAAGCCATGTTCTTGGATCATAATTGAGAAAAGAAGACCAGCTGCCAGTGATGTCCAGCTGTTCCCTACTTGTTGGATAACAGTTTGATTTTCTCTATCAAATTAAAATTTCTTAGTGAATAGGACTGTAACCAAGCAAACCAGGGCTTGGCCATGTGGTGCTTTGACACATGACCTGACAATTAGTGTGGAAGGAAATAAGTTTTTATTAACAGAGTTCCAACCTCAGGGGGCGGGGCTGAGAGTACTCTTGCTCAGAGCCATCCTCTGCCATGAGAACCAGCACTTACCTTGCTCCCCAAAAGGCTACAAGCCAAATCCATGCCCAGAAAGTTCCCCATATCCTTCTCTGTTCTTAAGCTGAGTGCACAAACATGTCTCCATCATCTCTGGAATGTGCACTTGTGGGTTTCAGAGTCCCCATCCTCTCATAGCACTTCTCCCTTCAGGATCTAGGGTGCACGGTTCTCAGCCTTCACGTAGTGGTTCAGGAAAACATGTGTCGTGTTACGCTGTGTCATAGTGCAGTCCAGGGAGGCACACGTCCCAAGAGAGTGGCTTCTCCATACATCCTTCAGAGAAGCAGAAGTCTGCAACTCAGCATTCCCAGTCATAGTTCACCTCCAAGCATCTCTCATGAATCTGTTTGGTTCCCCAAAGTTAGGCAGTTCCCCAAACAGCTACATCAGCTCTGCTGCTGTCTTCTTCTTAGTATAGTCCATGTGATGTGCTCTTAATCCAGACTGCATGGGTTCCCCCTTACACCCCAGACCCTGTAGCTGACTTCCCTCTACACCCTTTCAGACCAAATGGCTTCTTTTTCTTTCCCTCTCAACCCAACTTCATTTAAATGCTCAACCTAGAACTTCCTATGTGACCTCATATCCAGCCCCTCCTAAAATGTGTTAGTGTCCACCACTGTTGCCAGTTCCCCAGTATCTTTTACCTTCTTTCAGCTGCTATCTTTAGTCAGGGCGAGAGTTCCCAGTTACACAGGGACATTTGGGATAGGCATCCACTACCCCTGGCTATGTCAGTAGTTACTTCTGTCCACTGCCAATTGGAAAGACATTTCTCAGTGCCAAACATTTGTGAAAAGGAAACAAAATGTTTAGTTAATGCTATTCAGGCCTAACGCCTCCTCTAAAATATCAAAGTCCTTTAGAGTATACCCCTACACACACACACACACACACACACACACACACACACACACACACACCCCTCTCCCTTCTCCCACTGTCCCAACTCCGGGTACCGTAAATCAGGAAAAGAGCACACGTTCGTTTTTCCAGGTTGCTGGCATCGTCAGCTGTGTTGACAGTCAGGGAGGATCTCTAGTTAATCCAAAGTCATGTGGTACCCTCTCACGGTCCACTGGCAAGAGTTCTTTGTACCCAGTTCCAGTCAAAGTCTCTTCTGCTTTCCAGGCCATGTGACCAATGGTGGCACCCCAAAGCCACATGGGCCTCTTCTACCAAAGCTGCAGGGGTCCACACTCCACCAAATGCATGTCTTTCTTCTTCACCTGGCTACAGGGATCTCCATTCTGGCAAAGATGCGTGGTTTCCCCTTTCACCTGGGAAAGAGAGGGTCTGCACCCTGCCAAAACCACATGGCTCTCTCTTCACCTGGCCAAGAGGGGACCCTTACTTTGCTGAAACCATGTGGCTCTCTCCTACATGACTGCAGGGGTCCTCGCTCTGCCCCAAACCACGTGGCTCTCTCTTTTACCTGGCTGCAGGGGTCTGCACTCTGGCCAAAACAGCATGGTTCTCCCTCCTCTTTACCTTGGCAAGAGGGGGGGTCTTAACTCTGCTGAAATTGCATGGCTCTCCCTTCACCTGGCCAAGAGGGGACACTTACTTTTCTAGAACCGCGTGGCTCTCTTTCCAATGGCTTCCGTGTCTCGGTTTAAATCTCTGCACCCATCCTCCTTTGCGGCCCCATTTCCGACTCCTCCTACAATCAGTTACACCTGCCAGGACTCTCATACCTTTCCAGCTTTACTGGGCTGCCATCATTAGTCTGGGCAGATATGGCCCCCCATGGTGTGGAGCCAATCAATTCCAAGCTCTCACGCAGGCGCTGTAACTCAAGGGACCAGCCCCCCAGTTACATCCTGGGTAGAAGCCACTCCCTTCTTCCTGGCTCAAAACTTGGCCAAGGCTATTTAACATATCTATGAAACCAGTTAAAGGTTATAGATATGTTAAATGACCATTCCAGAGGTTAGCTGCAAAACTGTTGCTGTGCAAAACAGCTCTCAATGACCCTGGCTCCATTTGTGCCTTCCCCCTGGGGATGGGGGGTGGGGTGGTGAGGACATCTTAATATTTCCTGGACACCCTGAACTCTGGACCTCATCCCAAATCCTTTTCTAGGCCCCCCCTTTGGCTACACCCTGTATCAGTATGACCAAGCCTGACTCCAGGAGACCATAAGCAGTTCCACCTTTGTGCCTCAGGAGGACTGCAAGCAATTTAAGATGGTATCTGAGCCCTTGTACTTCAGAGTGAAGTGACCGCTGCCAAGAATGGAGCTACAGACCACCATCCAGGTTGAAAATACTGCAGTTTTTTTAATCCAATTAACTTTTCCCTGAATTCCAAAATCCTTACCTACACTTTGTTCTCTTTATAAAAAGAACCATTTTATGCCCTGGCTGTTGTAGCTCAGTGGATTGAGCATGGGCTGGGAATCAAAAGGTCGCTGGTTCAATTCCCAGTCAGGGCACATGCCTGAGTTGCAGGCCAAGTCCCCAGTAGGGACCACCCAAGAGGCAACCACACATTAATGTTTCTCTCCCACTCTTTCTCCCTTCCTTGCCCTCTCTCTATAAGTAAATAAATAAAAATAAAAACAAAAATAAAAGAACCATTTTTAAATGAAATTTAAGGTGGTCTGTTAGGGTACAAACCTACCATCTTTTCAGATTGCCAACCATCTTAATAAAGCACCTGTAAAGATTCAATCCGTGTCTCTGCTAATTGGGTCTAGTAGGTGACAGGCAGCAGCATGAACACCAGCTTTTCTGGTTTCAGTTCTGCACCCCATTATAGGACCAGGTCTCCTTTTTTTCCTGTATCCTCTATAGTACATACTAAAGTGTTGGACAAAGATATATACTCAAGGAAATAATTAGTGATGGGGCAGGAACTGAATCAAGAGTGAATGTGGTCATGGTGAAGTCTTACTTCACCAATCACTTAAAAGGCAGTCAGTCACCAGAGGGAATCTCTGATGTCACTGAAGAACAGGCACTTGTTTTCTACCATTGCTTAAGAGAGAACAAACCATTTGGGCCTCTTCATTTCTTTCTATTTTTTAAATGTTATTTATTTATTTTAAGAGAGGAGGAAGGGAGGGAAGGGAGGAAGAGAAACATTGATGTGAGAGAGAACTATCGCTCGGTTGCCTCTTGTACATGCCCCAACCAGAGGACAAACCTGTAACACAGGCAAATGGCCTGACAGGGAATCAAGCTAACAGCTTTTTGCTTTGCAGCATGATGCCCAACCAACTGAGCCACACTAGTCAGGATGACTGCTTTCTCTTAGTCACTAAGAGATTACATATCAGCATCAGTACCAGTTGGCAGATAATATTAGGGACAAGGATTTTCTGTCTCAGAGGAAGTACTAGTCCATTACATGTTATATTTTAACTCCACTAACAACAGTTTATAGAACCATTAACTTTTTATAATTATGTTAAATATTTTACATACTAAAGGGTATTTAAAATATTAGGCTACTCTGGCTGGTGTAGCTCAGTGGATTGAGCACAGGCTGCGAACCAAAGGGTCACTGCTTCAATTCCCAGTCAGGGCACGTGCCTGGGTTGTGGGCCAGGTCCCCAGTAGGGGGTGCACAAGAGGCAACCACACATTGATGTTTCTCTCCCTCTCTTTCTCCCTCCTTTCCCCTCTTTCTAAAAATAAATAAAATCTTTAAAAAATAAAATAAAATATTAGGCTTATTTTCCCTGACATCACAACATGCATTAAAGAAAAAAAACAACAACACTGGCATTAGCTAGAAGATAAGAAACTTACAAAAGGAAGTAATCTTCAAAATACTGAACATTATTCAGTACAATTATCCCATAGAAACAAGTAAGAAAAGTTACAACCTTAACTTGGTATACTGACTACTGTTAAGATAGTACCCTGCCCTGGCTCATGTGGCTCAGTGGATTGAGTGCTGGCCTGCAAACCAAAGGGTCGATGGTTCGATTCCCAGTCAGGGCAAATGCCTGGGTTGTGGGCCAGGTCCCCAGTAGGGGGCGCACAACAAGCAACCACACATTAACATTTCTCTTTCTCTCTTTCTCCCTCCCTTGCCCCCTGTCTAAAAATAAAATAAAAAAAATAGATTACCCTTATTTGAAAGAAATTTTTATATTTGAATGTGAGGCTATAATTATTCCTTAATAATTAACTATTTCCCAATTAGGTGGTGTGTGAAACTACTGGAATGTCAATTTCAGTGACAGAGAGGTGAGAGCATGCTGAACAGTGCTGTTTCCTGCCATAGCAGTTTTGGTGGGGGGTATTATATAATCAACAATAAAGTTAGGGATAGTTGAGAAATTGCTAGCAGTAATAACTAAAGCATCATCAATTTTACCAAAGATAGAGGCAGGCATCAGATAACAAATCCTGCATGCATACAGGTTCCCTGCAGAGGCTAAGGTTTCAGAGTGTTGTATCAATAATTTTATGCCAAGGTTTCCCACTTACAAGTGTTAAAACAGAAGGAAAGGGGAAATACTGCAATAGTGAAGGACTAATAATATGGAATAACTAGAATATACAATCTAAAACCTAGGGAAGGTAACTGGCTTGTCTTGAGAGTATTAGAAACATTAATATGCCCTGGGATATAATCATTATAAAAACTATGAAATAAAGATAAAGCTTATACACAGCAGGAGTTGACTTTGCTGGCCTGGTCCAGGGTCTTGGGGAAGGTTATCTGCTTCAAGTGTCATTTTGCTTTTTATCCAAGCAGTTTTCTGTTCTAAATAACTTTAACTTGAGTTTTCCTTTAGGCAAATGAGATACACATGAGGGAGTCTTTTAAATGGGAAGTATAAATTCATGAGTCAATGTCATTTACCTTTATGGCACAAGGACTAGTTAACAACATCTGGTATAATTCTTTCCAGTGAGGCTGGAGCAAGTCCTTGGGAAGATGTCTTTTCCAATAGGCCATTTCTCCAGGTTGTAGGCCCAGGAGTGCACTGTAGAAATATTGCTCTATGAATTTGGAATCAATTTCAGAGGCTTTTGTAAATTCTTTACAATAAATCAGAGGTCTCCCTAATAAGGCAGGTTTGTACATTCCCTGATGTAGTCTTAGAAGTCTTCAATTTTAAAAGGGAACCAAATAAATTAAATAAATAGATAGATAGAGAGATAGATAAGGACAATCAATGATTATTACTAAAGGGAGTGAATCTTAGGTTAATTACTACCCTGTAAAGGGCTGGCTTTAGGGCAGAGCAGATTAGGAGTGAAGAAATTTACCAACTGAGAGCCCTGACCAGTGTGGCTTGGTTGGTTGGAGTGTCATCCCATGCACCAAAGGTTGTGGATTTGATTCCCGTTTATGGCACATACCTAGGTTGTGGATTCCATCCCTGGATGGGATGCATACTAGAGGCAACCAAGCAATATTTTTCTCTCACATTGATCTCTCTCTCTCTCCATATATGTATATCTTTCTACCTTCCTCTCTCTCTAAAAGCAAGGAAAATGTCCTCTAGTGAGGAAAAAAAATTTTTTTTTTAATTTACCAACTGAGTCTTAATTATCCTTGTCATCGGCTCTGTAAAACCAGTAGATTAGAGATAGTAAGCACAATAGAAATGTTGTAATGTTGCCCTATTTCCCTAACTGGTGTAGTTCAGTTGGTTGAGCATCTTCCCACAAAGTGAAAGGTTGCCAGTTTTATTCTTGGTCAGGACACATGCAAATGTTGCGGGCCTGATCCGCCATTGGTTGGGACATGTGTGAGAGGCAACTGACTGATGTTTCTCTCACACGTCAATGTTTTTTTTCCCTCAGTTTCTCCCTTCCTTCTCCTCTTTCCAAAAATAAATAAGTTAATGAATAAATACATAAATAAAATATTTTTTTAAATGTAGTATTAGAGCCCTGGCTGGTGTAGCTCAGTGGATTGAGCGTGGGCCTGCGAACCAGACAATCGCGGTTCAGTTCCCAGTCAGGGCACATGCCTGGGTTGCAGACCAGTTCCCAGCAACCATACATTGATGTTTCTCTCCCTCTCTCCTTCCCTTCCCCTCTAAATATAAATAAATAAA